AGTGTTGTGGGCAGGAATTTGGCCCAGGGCCCCCTCAAAGCAAATGGAAAATAACATGTTGCAAATAAATAGGTGGTGTGTTAATAATAGCTCTGTGAAGCCCCTCAGCGGAGAAAGGGAGGCTTAGGGAAAGAGGGAGAGAAGAGTGAGATTGACTAGCTGGGGATAAGCAGTAATAACAATGCAGAGATGCTCATAGAAAGGTGTGATGGAGAAGGGAGAAAAACATGGAGAGGGAAGGCAGGAGGGTCAGTTCAGTCAGTTTCATGTTGGAGTCCCAGTTTGTAAAGCTTGCTGGTGTTTTGGCACTAGATGACTGCAGACTAGTCCTGCCAAAGTGTGTGTCTGCACAGGCTGCCCGTAGCGCCGTCTGTCTATCACTTTGGGGAGTTTTCCACGTGTGTCCACTCCAAGCTTAACTTTACTCAGATTCTTTGCATTTCCTGTTGCAATCTTAGCATCTTCTCGGGGATCCCTGTCGGCTGAGCTCGGCGGACTTCAGACGGGCTAAGTCACATGACTTGATAAGCGACTCTTTCAGGAGAGCCCCGCCTTTTCAACGTGCGGCCGCAACCTCTGATTTCATTATTTCTGTGATCCTCCATGTTGTAAAAGCTAATGCATGACTTGATACGTAAGCTAATACATAATGCATAAAAAGGATGTCGTTTGAAATGGAAATACCACCTGAAACGAGTCGGGCTGCATAGCTACTGATGGATGCTCACTTTCTATCCGAGTTTGGGAGGAAATGCAGATTATGCCTCTTATTACCATCGCCTTTGTTCTCATCCCAATAAGGCGGAAACAGCCATATGGACCTTGATCGTCTATAGAATCCCTGAAAGCCAATCTCAAATCAGTAAGGTGCCGAGGATAAGTGTACAAGCGCCTGACTATTAATCTCTATAATGTCGGTGTTGACTTCACTGAGCTGTACTCTTACCCACTAAAGGCTTCTGCATTATTGACTTCCACACATAGCAGAGTATGTCAACATGCCTGAGCTCTGCATTCCTCAGCCTTCTGTGAAAATGTAGTGAGGAAATCACTGCGGGTCTGGAAGCTGATAGTGAGGACGAATGTGTGTCTGTAAATGAGATTTTTCTTACTACAGCCAACGTGTCTGTGAAAATAAGCAAAATCATTATGTTCATCATGTTTACCGCCCTCCCAGAACCATGGCTTTTTTTGGAGCTATTTTTACAAAGTCCCTGAGCCAGACATTAAGAGCTGCTTTAGCTACACAACATTAAACAAGTGGTTCTAATTGTGTTAATGAATTTCAGTTCAAGTGGAAAGGGATGAATACATGGGTCATTCTGTGTTTACTCTCCGGCAGGGCAGATCCTAAACAGATGGCGCCGCTTTATTTTTCATATTTGTTGCAACTAGTGTAGCTCTTAGAGTAAACCCAACATTTCTCTGCACCACGTCAAATAAAAATGGAACATTCTACTCATCATTGCATTTTGGTAGACATTCACTGTGCCGTACAGATTCTGACCGGCTCCGGTCATCATTTTTAATGATTGTTTCACATAGTTGAGGACGAATGAATGAAGACTAGATCTCCAACACTCAAGCAACTGCTTTAATACAAATGTTCTAATTATACAAATCTAACAACTTGCAATGCCCGAGTATCTGAAAATAGCATCAGAGACACTAGCTTTTTTTAAATGTTAAGAATAGGAAAGTCCTTGAGCTAATTTTTCCAAGTACTAAACAGTTAATTAACAAGGTCATTACGCCGATATTGAATAGGTGCGATGCTGCCATGCTAGATATGTTTTACACACCATGTTTAATAAGGCTGCCTTCTCGCGGAGTATCGACACCCCTCAAATGACTTTCCAATAATGACAACGAGCTTCCCAGAGGATCTGCAGGAGTGTGTGGCTTCCTGGAGCGGTGGAATGGCTGGCACCGGATAACCTGACAGCCAAGGTGCTTCAGTCAATTCAGTGCTTATGTGCACTGTACTCACACACACTTGGGACTGCTGCCAAAGGGTGGCACGACACGAGTGCTTCTCCCTGTCATTATGTTTATTCCCCCACCACACAGGCCTCATGAATGAGAAAGTGTGTGCATCTCTGCCACCCATGGAGTGTACTGACATGCCCCCTTCAAAGCTGCAGACCACCGAGGCAGAGAGGAACCACCTGTCTGTCCAGAAACCAACACACACACACACGTTGACATTACCATAACCATATTTACTCATGGTTAGTACATTCCACCACAGGCTGTTTAATGGGACGGATAACATACACACATACACACAAAAACAACCTTCCTTGAGGTCGGAAAATACCATAATTCTCCTTGTGGCCCAAACGTGCATTCATAAATGCCATTTTACCCCTTAATAAGTCAAAAGAGATGGTGCTCATGTAATAGCTGCCCTAGGAAACAGTCTTGCAGCGAGCAATTACCGTGGCTGCTGAAACAAGAGCGCTCTGTGGGGAAAAGCCAATTAGTTTGCTGTGGCAGCAGGTAGTAAGCTGGCTTCATTCATTATGATCCCTCATAACATTCTGATAATAGATTAGCAAAGTGTTAGTGCTGCTGACAGACAGCAGGTTTTACAGTGATAAACAGAATCAGCATTTTTATTGTTACTGCCGCGCAATCCCATGTTCACAGATGTGCACGTAGTCTGACGGATTTAAGTGAAACCAGTAATGAAAGTGGTGCTTGTTTATTCTTTAGAGTGCAGGTAATGAGCACTTGTGGATACTTGGTCGTAGTAACTTCAGCGGCATGAACATTTGTTGGTGTGTGAATGTGATCAATTCACAGGATAATATTCAGTTAACTATTAAAGCTGCAGGCAATGAATGTAATATCAATATCTGCAACTGATCTGCTCCAGTGAGTATCCCAACATGATGATTTTCAGATAATGTGATGTGAAGATGTAAACCAGGAGGCTGGAGCCTAAGACGGAGAGAAAGTGTTGTGCTATAGGACGAAATTAACCCTTCTGCTCTGTTTGGTGAAAATAATTGGTCTATTGTGGTTTGTTAACAGAGGCTGAGGCAGAGGAGCTGGACAGCTTGGAAAGAGAGGGCAGAGGAGGAGGACTGTGAGCAGAGAGAAGACAAAAGGGAGGGTCGACAGAGCGGGGTTTGGACAGCAAATTAATTCAGTCTGAACAATAGAGCTGGGTTTAACGTCATCATTGCTACCTGAACTTCTGAGGACGTGTTAGATTTATCCCAAAATAATTAGAGAGTTACAAAAGGCCACTTAGAAGCACTACAATTTTAACTATGAGCATGCTTGCACTCTATGCTCAAGGCACAGAGGTATTTTGAGCAGGATGGGGTGATGGACTGACACCGTAACGCTGTGTGCATTCAACACATTCTGTAACTTTCACTATGGAAGTGTGCCGTGCATGCAGGGGCAGCCAAATTTATTGCCTTACGTTGTCTTAAAACTACTCCAATAATGATTCTGTCAGATGATGCTGTGGTTCTAAAAAAAATTAGTAGACCAGATTGATAGCCTGGAAATGCCTTAAACCACAATGAGTTAAGACGTAGTCGCTTAGTATTCCCGCCCTTCCTCACCGAATGGAAGTGGGGTCGATGTCCAACTGGTAAAGAAAAGAGGTAAGAGGATAGGGGAAAGGAAAAAAAGCGAGCAGGAAGTGGAAAAAGTAAGGGATGAAGGCGATTTGTTCGGAGACAGCGCGTCTCTCTGTGCTAGCGTGTGACAGCATGCGTGAACTGGGCCTGCAGTTACGCGCATGTGAGGGGGGGCAGCAGTCGGAGAAAGTGAGCCAGCATGAAGGGCAAAGATTGTGTTTATGTGGTGCGCGTGCACAAGTGTGAGGGTGCACTCGTGCATGTCAGGAAACTGTGGTGTCCCTGGCTCTCCAGTGTTTACAGACAGGAAATATTTGTCCTCCTTACCCCCCCCCACATGGCTAACACTGGTGGATACACTCACACTCACACACACACGTATGCGTACACACCCCCGCACTTGAACGGCGTTAAGAAAAAAGAAAAGAGGAATTTGACTGGAGTTCCAGTCTTTGTGAGTGCGCTGGGGTATTTGGTATTGGGGAAGTAGGAGTGACTGGGTTGGGCACCAACTGTTCCTCACTTCCCTCTACGCTGACTGCCAATGCAAACTGCAGCAGATAGAAAGTCAATACACTTACCCCCCGTGAACCTGTGAGAGCGAGGCCACAGTCTGCCAGGCTTGTTCGCACTAATGCACACACACTTACTGTGTGTCTGCACCTCCATCTGCCTTCCCCTCGGCTCAGCGGCCTCTCCTGCCACTGCTGTTGGGAAATTTGACTGAACCACGGCAGGGCATGACGGACTTCAAATGACCAAATCAAAAACTGCATATGAAGCTGCTGAAAGAAGTCGAGCACTTCTGCCAGAGGGGTGAAATGGAACCCGATTAAGAACTTCTGATTTTGTTGCTTTTCACCTGGCTTAGATAAGCAACTCTGCTTGTTCCTGCTGAGCCTTTTTACAGCTTGTCAATGGGAGCTGTTCGTGACTAGGAGCTACGCAGATATTTGTGAGATCTATTTTAGGAGCGGTTGCCAAATTTGCGTTCCCCAAATAAACAATACGCCTTTCTGACTGTCCTGCCTCATTTCCTTCTGATCTCTGCTGATGTTTCTGTATGTCTGTGCGCCGATGTGTGTGCATTTGTAAATTAAGAACAGCGCTGGAGGCAATGTGGTTAGGAGATTTTTCTGTGTGTGGCTGCCTCTCTCTGTTTACCAGCACAGACACATTTTGCAAACAGGACTGATCTAAACAGGATGAAAAGAAACTTTTCTTTTGCCAGCGGATTCACGAGCAGGAATACGTGTGCACACACAGCCTACGGGAAAGCCACACAGGTAAACCAGGACACTCACAAAAGAAATTAAATCATCTCACCACTTGGAGCCTGCCCCGCTCAAGTGCACACTTTCGGAGTTGTAAAAAGCGTTTAAAAAAAGGTTTACTCACTGGCTGGAGATGGGGTGCTGTACCCACTGATGGGTAGTCCAGGCAGGGCCGGAGGCGACAGGCTCCCCAGCATGTGGGGAAAGAAGTAGGAGTAGGTGGACATAGGGAAGCCATTTAGGTGGCCGCCCGGCATCGGGTTGCCCTTCCCAGCCATGAAGGCTCAGTCCACCTAGGGTCCCAAATAGAGCTCACGGGGAGAGAAAAAACCTTAACAAGATGTGGAGTCGAAGGCGAGTCGGTAAGGTTTCCTGTAAAGAATTAATCCCCCATAGGGATGCTGAAGCAATTGGTATTCCAACTTCTTTTTTGTTTTAAAAATGAAAGGGTCTTGGCAGAGTTTGTTGAGAAAAAGTATCTCCTAAAGGTTAAAATGTTCCCAGACCTGATGTAGATGTCAGCCAGACAAAAAATCTTTTTGGTTAAGTAAGTATTTCTTCGGGGTTGAATTGCAAAGGACAAAGGATAAAAAAAGAGACACGGGGCAGAAGTATAAAGGGGAACTGCAGGGTCCTTTATCCCTCCTTTCTCTGGTTTTGTTAAACAAGCTAAAAGGCCTTATTTGCGAGAGGCGTTGGAAGGGCAAGAAAGTAGTGTAGCCATTCCTTATCTTCAAGATGAATGGGGGGGGGGGAGGCAGGAGGCAAGTCGAGTCATGAAGAGGTGACTTTGATGGCAGCAGTCAGGAGTAGCGATGATGGTGATAGGGGGTGCTAGTGGTTGGGATCCTTCCAGAGGCATGCAGATTCACTCAGTCGCTGTGCAGCACCTTCAGGGGAATGTGCAGATCACATGATGCCACCAGAAGCAGCCCCCTCTTTATGGTTGCGAAGCCTTAGCCTAGAAAAACAATAAAAAAAGAGAGAGGGGTGATCACTTAGTGCTTCAGTGACAAGGTAAGAGATTGCTTCCCTTTGTACTTATGAGCCGAAGTGCTCTCTTCTTTTGACACTAATTAATGGTAATGTCTCATCTGAAATGTTAGGAAAACACTCCGTCCGCCTTAATTATCTAATGGGGTGTTTAAATTGCAAGGAGAGCTGTAAGTGTGCGGTGTCTCCTCACAGCTTCGCGCGTTCACGCACGTGCTCATTATCGGTGACGAGACTACAAATACAGCGGGAGGCGAGCCAAAACAGAAATGAAGAGAGCCACACAAAGGAAAACCGGCTAATTACATCAGCTGCAGAAGGCAGAGGTGAGATTCCAGGCGCCATCCCGGGAGCCACTAAAGACTTCAGCTGTGGAGTTAACTTCCAAATTAAGGGCAAGACATTAACAACCAGACCTGTAATCTCTGCAGAGAGCCGGAGCCGACATGAGAGAACTGACACCCCTGCACCCAAGGAACATGTTTACCATAACAAAACAAACAAAAAAGCACATTAGCATCAGAAAATATACAAGGGTATGACAAAAGATATTCCCTCAGAACAGCACGCCATAACACGAGCACCTTTCTTTCTTTTTTTTACTATAATGACCTTTTTATGAGCAGAAGATGTAATGTGCTGCAGTAAAAACTAAAAGGCTCTGAAACACAAGCAGAGACATTGCAGCAAAGGCAGGGGGGAATGTGTCTTTGCATGATCGGTGTTGTTAAGGAATGTGGCACTCTGGCACGAATGACACCGGGACAACATGGATGAACTCCTGTAAAGTAGGAGGGGTCAAATCAGACATGTCTGGCGTGCCTGTTCCCGCTTGTGCGCCGCACGTAAAGCAAAAGGCTATGACAGGTGAGAGGGGCGCGCTGGCGGGGGGGTGGGGGGGAGTTTGGGGGGGGGGCTGCCGTGTGCAGACGGATGACAACCATCGGAACGTTCCAGTAAATGGCTCCAAACCCGCTGGATGATGCTTCATCCTGCAGCAAGATAACGATCTCTAACAACACACGCTAAGGCAGCGTGAGATGGTTTTTTCCCCCAAAGCTAAAATGGCCGAGCCAGTCACCTTTGAATCCAAGTGTCTCAATATAGATAACGAGGGAAATTTTTTGGCGAAACTGTACCCTCCTGCTTATGCTTCTTCACACATGTAAAACCGGGAAGTGAGGCAGAGCACATTTTATTGGATGAGCCTTCTGTTAGCATCCATTTTTAAATTTCCTCATTCCTGAAGTGCTCTTAGCTCACCCTGTCACATTGAGCTTGTGTGTGCGTTCATGGAACATGGGCTGAAGGCGGGAGATGTATTATTTTGAAAGCTTTTATAGAGTTTTTTTTAAAGCCCATGGGACATGGATATAGTTTTATTTGCTTTTAAAGCCCCCCTCCCTCTTTCTTTTCCAGGCACCTATAACATACTATAAATGGCCTTGGAGATGTTTTTTCTGCCTCCGTAATACTGAAACAACCATTACCATCATAGAACACAGCCTGGATATATATTCCACATTGCAGCGTGATGTAGAATACATCAAAGTTGTCAAATATACAGGCGGAAGTGACTTTAAGGCTGATATACTTTCACCAAACACCCGGCGACCACAGGCTTTAAATGTCACTGGGACAAAGGGACACCAACAGGCTGGAAATAAGCCACTTTCCTCACACGAGGGCCTCGTTTGAGTTATAGGTGGCATCTCACACCATTGTTGCAGCCAGCACAGTTCATTCTTTTTTTGGTGTCACAGTAAATAGACTGGGACAAACAACATGGCTGCGGCATACACACAGCCTTAGCTACATTTGTGACAATAACAGACTACAAGACCCAAAACACAGTTAAAGATTTTCCTTTCCTGTCATTTAGACTGACGTTTTTTTTTAAGGTACTCCTTATAAAAAGGGCCATTTGACTTATAATACCTCAAACAAGGAGTCCAGTTTGGGGATTGTGAGAGATATCTATCATCAATATTAATTACTGCACGATATAGATTCCAGCTGATCAACAGAGACTAGTCTCTTTTCATGTAGTGCCTGATGAAGACAGCCACATATTTACTAACAGACTCCTTGCCCTTTTTGCAGTCTTTATGGACTGTAGACTATGGAGAATTCGAAGTCTTTGGCGTTTACATTACATTTCTATCTCTGACCATATATTGATCTGTTGCCAATTCATCTAATCAGTTGTACCATGTTACTGGAAACACTTCTGTTGTGAGCCTTTTTATGGCTCCATCAGAACCATGTTTATCGTTGTTCTTGTAATCATATTGATTATTCCTATAAAATACCATATGTCTTATCTACAATATTAAAAACATTTTATGTGTTAAGTTGTGACCAATCGTGGCATATGCTTTTGTTAAGATATTATGCAGCTGACTAATTTTGTTGTAATAAAGGTTATTTTATTACATTCCAACATTTCTAAGAATATTCTCTGAAATACAAACATCAGAATATTCAAACATCAGAAAAGATTCCAAAATATTTACATCACTGAATCCAATAAAAACTGAATATGACCATATATTTTTAGTTTTAGAAAGTGTTTCCTGAATGAGGTCCTTATGTCTGAAGGTGAGAACTGAAAAACACTGACTGATGCATTTAAATAACATCTGAAGCATGACTGTGACATATACCAATCCCTCACCATGTTAACCCAAGCAGAGTGTCACTGTGTAAACCCTCTACCAGCAGTGAGGGGAAACACACATGTCAGAAGCAGACGCCCTCTACACCCTACGTGATGTGAGGGCTAACGGCACATGAAGGATCTGCGTGATCTGTGATAAAAACTGCAGGAGACAGAGAAAACACTTAAAGGCTCTAACAACTGCTACTTATCCTTGTACGTTGCAATGTGCAGAAAAACAGCTGCGCACTCTGATCCCACCATGGATAACATGGATAAAGTAGGCCGAAGTCCATGTGCTCCACTATACACGTGCAACGTGTGGAAAATGCCCAAACCCATACACAAAGTGTGAACACACTGATGTCTGACTCCCCGTCAGCGTGCTCCTGAGTCTCAGCAGCAGGTGCCTGCTTTTGTTTGTTTGCTAAATAAGTTTGATGGGGAACTGGGACCTTTCTGTGTGGAGTTTGCAGGTTCTCCCCGTCTTTGCGTGGGTTCTCTCTGGAAACTAAAGCTTCTTCCCACCGTCCAAAAACAGGCATGTTCGGTCAATTGGACACTCTAGATAGTCCCTGTCTCTGTGTTGCTGTCCAGGGTGTACCCTCCCTCTCGCCTATTGACGGCTGGGATAGGCTCCAGCCCACCTGCGACCCCGTTGGAAATAGGCGGTATAGAAAATGGAAGCATGTTCAGTGGATGACACAGAGGGGGGGCCGTAAAAAGAGAGAACATATGCAATGGGCTGCATGCATTCTGGTCTGTCTTTCTAAATGAGTAACAGCACCGAGGAAGAATATGTACAAGCATAAACAAAAATGAAAAAATGCTTTTTTATATAGAGATTTTTAGACATATAGTTTGTGTACACATGAGAAATTAAATAGCAGCTCCATATATTGGTGACATATGAAACACCTCAATAAAAATAGATATTGATGGAACCCAGACATCTAAGATTAAGCAGTAATAAATGTTGCAGAAATGCGTAAAGACCCAAGAGACTAAGTTCTCCACTTTAATATAAATCAGTTTAAAAATTTACAAGAATCCTTCCCCTCACCAATTTAATTTCAAAACATGCAAAGGATCACATGCAGAGTAATGTATGGAGGGAATGTGCGCTGCACGGTTGAAGGAAAGTAAACAATCTGAGTCACTTGGACTTAATTCTCTTTGACATGTAACATGCAGAGAGAAGGAAAGGTTAGAGGTTATGGGACATGAGAGAGCGAGATCAGTTTTGACAGCAAACACTAAATTAATAATCAGAAAAGGCAGCAAATGGCAGCGTGAGGTCAGGCCGGACGGGCACGCTACACGCCAAACGCGGCCGCGGGGGACAGCCATGGCAACACACGACACACGCAGGCACCGTGCATAAGGCCACAGATGTGCGCATGTGTGTACGCACGCGCACATCTGTACCAGAGCAAAGTTCACAGAGGCCAGGGTGAGAAAGCCAAGCACCCGTTTTTGTCAAGATCTAGAGATCAGTGGGACTCTGACACTGCAGTTCCCGCCCACACAGGTATGAGCCACTGCACACATCAGCACACTGATCTATACCTTACTACTCACGCTAGCGCGTCAAAAACAGGAAGTGGCATCTGTGCTCCACATGAA